TTTGTGATTTGGAATTCTATTATGTGAATTTCTGTTAAGGGAGGGACTCAGAGATCTTGCCTATGGATAAAGACCTGTGAATTAACACAGTCCACTTTTCAAGGACCTGTGTGATCCAGCCCTGGCTCCTTTTCCATCCTCCTACCACGCTTCTCCATGGCTTTGTGTATCTCAACCTTACTTTGAGGAGTCACCTAGCTTATTCCTCAGATTCTAATAGGTGGCATGGCCCAAGCTAATGCTATTGTGGAGTAAATAAAGTAGGATACTGCCTGGTTTGTATTTTTGTTTTGGGCGCCGCTGGTAGGAAACCCTAACTGATCTGAATAAAACCCAGGCAGTTGAACGCTCTAGTTCTGATTTTGTAAGATAAATAAGTGAACACCGTAGGCTTGTGTGATGATAGCATATAGACCAACTTGATGTGCAGCTTTGGGTGGATGTAAGTAAAAATTTGAGGGGTTGGAACAAGTCAGAATTCCTCTGCTTCAGGTTTTATGATTTTTTCATCTTTTATTCTATAATATTTTCATTCAGTTCCATCTTGTTTCATCATGCTTTCTAAAACTATGTCTACATTAAGTGAACACCATGAGCTCAAAGGATTGTAACATGGTGAATTTTTCTTTTTAAAAAAGCTTTCTTTATCTTATGAGATTCTCTCAGTGGTGCTCTTAAGAGACATTTCCATTCAGAAATGTCTTAAAAATAAATGAAGACTTTCCAGAATCATAGTGGACAAAATGCTCTGTCTGCCCTATCACTACTGGCTAATCTTAGTGCAGTTACCATTCTCATCTGTATTGTTACATACTCAGACCTACTGGGTGACCCAGGCAAATTCCCGGATTTTCTTTTTTAATCAGAAATTCTCTTTGTCCCCCATAAAGCATTATTCCTGTTTAAGGTTTGCAATTAGAAAAGCATCAAACGATCTTGTATTTTAAAGTAATGGTAGATTTTCCTTCTGAAACATTTATCTATTGTGGAGAAGCACTTAGTATAAATTGATGAATGTAGAGCTTACTCCCTTTACTTGGTTTATAAAAACTATTTTTAAATTGGCTTAGATGTGATGCAGTTTATAAATTCCACCTCAAAAGTGCTGTGTCTATTTGCTTGTGTTGCTGGGTTTGTAATCATCCATGAAAGTTTACTCATTTGTAAATCTCAGGATTGGAAATCTTAATACCTACTACTTTTTATACATATACCATATGTGGTAATTAGTGACCAAATTGGTGATTGAGAAGCACTGGGACAACAGGGATTTTTAAAAAATCGTCAAAGAAAGAACAAATTTTGTCCCTAATGATTTCAATATTTAATTCATTTTATTTTAGCATAAAAAATTGGCCTCAGAGAAGCCAAACATCAGACTTGAAGCCCAGCTTCATCTTTGTCTAGCTCTGATCATGGGCAAGGTATCTCACCTCTCACTTCTCTTAGCCTCCTTTTCCTCATCTCTCTCTCATTGATAATCACATATAGCTCATAAGTTTCTTGTGAGAGTTAAGCAAACCAATGCATATACTTATCTGGCACATAATTTGTCTTCAGTACGTGTTGCCTCCTGCTATTGTCAGTAACAGCAATGGCAACAATACTACTGCTTTGGAAATATGTGTTATTCTATGTGGGAATCTGTGTTGTAATTTTTATTAATCAAATAATGTGATACCCTATGACTCAATTACTACACCTTTTATTATGTAGGTAATATATGTAGCTATGCACGCATGTATAAACATGTATGCTCACACACACCCAAGTCCATACACACTGCACCTGACATTTTTTCAATTGTATTTTTAATTGGGGGAAATTGCTTCACAATGTTGTGTTGTCTTCTGCCATATGACAATACAAATCAACCATAACTGTACACAAATGACCTCCCTCTTGAGCTTCCCTCTCTTCCCCCCATCCCACCGCTCTGGGTCATCACAGAGCGCCAGGCTGGCTCCCTGTATTATATAGCAACTTCTCACCAGCCATCTATTTGACACATGATCGTGTATGTATGTTGACACTACTGTCTCTATTTGTCTCACTCTCTCCTTCCCCCATTGTGTTTCCCACCGCTCTGGGTCATCACAGAGCGCCAGGCTGGCTCCCTGTATTATATAGCAACTTCTCACCAGCCATCTATTTGACACATGATCGTGTATATATGTTGACACTACTGTCTCTATTTGTCTCACTCTCTCCTTCCCCCATTGTGTCCACAAGTCTGCACCTGAAGTTTTTAAGGAGAGGTCCTAGAATTTAAATCCTCCTATGTTGGGATACATATATTCTCAAGGTCAATACTATCTCATGTCTTCTCAAATGCAGGAAGAAACATGGGCACATAACTATGCTATACGGTGCACTGTCTCAAATTTGAAGATAATTCCGGCTGACTGAACACCATCTTAACCTAGGGCACCCATGGTTTATAGCTCCCTCTTGATTGTGTCAGGAGGGCTCAAGGCCAAGCTTGCATTAGCCTGAAGAAAGCAAGCACTCTGCAGAGATCAAAAAGTGGATCTGACACTGGGGCAGCACAAGGGTGCTGTGATTGTCCTACCCGTAGTCTCACACATTCCACTTCATACAAAGCGCTGTGGCAACATCTCACAGCTAAATACTCTAACTCTGAACAGCGCGTTTCAGTGAAAGGTTTTTATTTTAATGTCTGTGTGACAGTCGCCCCCAAAAGGAACCCTCACAGTTGAGTCTATTAACTAGTTATAGTTTTACATATTAATGCTATAAAACTGATTTTAAGCTAACGATTTTATCTTCCCAGGAATGACTAAGTTGTTTCTTTGTCCTATGCATAGAATTTAAATGTGCTTCATATCGGGATGGGGAATACATGTAAATCCATGGCTGATTCATGTCAATGTATGGCAAAAACCACTACAATATTGTAAAGTAATTAGCCTCCAACTAATAAAAATAAATAAATAAAAAAAGAAAAAAAGCTGGAGAAATGAAAAAGATTATTTTTCTCTCAACTTAAAAAATAAATCTGTTAAATGCAAAAAGTAAAAAAAAAAATGTGCTTCATAAAGAGCTGTTTATAAGTGTTCTTGTTTAAAAAAAGTCAAGAGAAAAGCTACATATTTCTTTTTGTGCAAATCCCTGTACATTTTTAATTTGGGGAGTCATCAAAATTATTATAACCTACTTACCTACTGAAAAAAATGTCTCAAGGAAGATTCTTGAGACCCTGAGCTGAGGACATTTTGTAATAAATGAGCATAAGGCCCAGATCTTGAATGCAAGTGGATTTTAGAAGGAAGCATGGGCTTTGTGTCCTCAGACTCTTCTTAAAACCTGGAAAGAGAGGCATCGTTGGGATTTGTGATGTGTTCTGCATGAGGATAGTTTTGTCTCTGGGAAAGTCAGAGCCAGGCCAAAATCACCCCTGGGATTTGAAGTCTGAAGTCTCTTGTTTGGCTCTGTTACTAGAGGACCCAAGAATGCTATTCATCGGCCAGTGTGAACAGTGGTTAAGAAATGATTTGCTGTAGCAATCATTCCCACAATTTGTGAAGATACAGAAATTCATCTTCATTGTGTTTCAGGCCCTGGAAAGACAAATCTTGGTGGGGTTTTCGGGTGGGACTTAGAAATAAAGGGGCCAGTATATATTTTAAAATCTCCAGGACTGTTCTTTCTCTCAGAGAACTTTTAAGTGCCTGTTTGTTTTTTGAACAGGTCTGTTGAATAAAACAATCGTACTGTAATGCCAGCACAAGATCAGCTTTTGTTAGAATACCCAAATAAAACCATCAAACATTACCAAATCCTTTTGGAGGTGTTAGAAGAAAGCCCAGAGAGAAAGTGAAGGGGAAAAAAATTCATTCTGGGATATTTAGATTTGTATTTACATTATTTTCCTATTTAGATCTCTTCTTGACTGTGAAAAAATAGTCACATAACATTGTGTTAATTTTTCTCTTGCTGTTACCCAGCATGAGAGCTTTTTAAACTCCTCAACTCCTCAACTTCTGCTTGGAGAAGTTTATATTGCTCCAGTATTCTTGCCTGGAGAATCCTAGGGATGGAGGAGCCTGGTGGGCTGCCGTCTATGGGGTCGCACAGAGTTGGACACAACTGAAGCGACTTAGCAGGAGCATATTTTATATATATATATAAAATAAAGTTTATACTTTTCATATAAACTTTCACTGTCACATTTAGAAAATTCAGCACATATCTATTAAATGCCTGGTGTGTATTAGAGTTGTTCAAAGTTCTCAGGCTACATTGGTGAACAGAAATCTCCCTGCTCTCATGGACCTTGCAATTTAGCTCACACAGAGCATCTAACATATCTATGAATAACAAGATCCAGACTTTAGCTTTCTTAAAGGGTCCACATGGCCCAAAGGGGTTTATTACAAATTGCTTGCAGTGTAACTGCAAATTCATTAACATATTATATGCAGACATGAAGAAAGTACATATTTTTTAAAATTTTGTCCATATCTGATCTAATCTTCCTTATGTACCCTGCAGGGAAGAAAATAAAAACAAAACAGCTAGATGTTTTCTCATCCAATGCAACAATGTATTGCTTTTGGGTAATATTTAGTCTCTGGATTGAAAGAAGTGCTGCATCANGGTGAATTCTTTACCACTAGCGCCACCTGGGGAAGACCACATTCATTATTACACTAGCCCTGTGAAGTTTTACAGATGAGGATATTGATGATCACATAAATTAAGAAACTTCTCAGGGTCATAACAGCTAAAAAGCAGGACAAGCAAGATCCACAGAGAGTTCTACTTTCTTTTTTTTTTCTAATTGGCATGGTTTACATTTCCCCCGTCATTTTTGTAAGTCTAAACAATCAACAGAACAATAAGTCAAGCCCTGATTATAGCATTTACAGTTTCCAGGGGGTAAATACTCTGATCGTGGCTGATTTCAACACCCAGGACTGATCTCCTTTAGGATGGACTGGTTGGATCTCCTTGTTGTATGCATTTTCAACATAGGTAACACTAAGAATAACATCTGTAACCATGAAACCTACAAAAGATCTAGAGAGTTTGGATTCATTGGCATTGATCTGGGGGTAGAAAAGACCTAGAGTAATGGCATGAACAGAGTGAATGGACTCCGTATCAGGGAAGACTTCTGGAGAGACTGATCGAGGTGAGGTTTGAAGAAAGGAAGTCGTGAATAAACAGGAAAGAATCATAGATTCTCAGAGGTAATTAGGACACTATTGAGTATTCCTCTCAGGACTTCTTTAGCTTGATAAGATATTTCTGGATAGATTTGAGTTTCCTGACTTAGGAAGCAATTTAACTTTGTTGTTGTTTTTATCAGATTGCAATCTTTAAGAATTTTGTTTTTTAAAAACACTTGTAACTAGTATACAAGTACTCTGTATCAATATTTAACCAATCTTTAGGAAAGATATTTAGTGATTTTGCAGATTTCCTTGTGGAAGCTTCCTTATATACTTGCCTTACTGTTATGATAATATTTTACTTCTTTTGGCTGGCAAAGTTTATCATGGCTTTAGTATGATTTGGAAAGATTCACAAGTTCTATAAAAAATCAACTAAGATTTTTTTAAAAAGATATCATCTAAAAAGAAAAATCCATATGTTCAAATGTTAAGCAGAAACATTACATTCCTTTTATTAATCATGCAGAATTGTGTGATTTCCTCTGTACAGGAATGGACAAGCAAAATCAGATACGCTTTTTCCAAAAACTGGTAATGTCTTTAACTCTGCCAACTCATCATTCATTCATTGTATTCGTGCACTGGTAGAGGAAAGAACTCTTTCTTTTCACCTTTCAAGATAGAAAAATATCTCCCCCTTCATCTCATCAGTTTCTCCTAAGTATAGAGGAGGTTGGTGATTTTAAACCTGTGTAAGACTTACCCTGGCTGGCACTGGACATATTCCCTGCATCCTGTACCCATGGCAGAAGTTGCTGATCCATCTTGTTACTGTTTTTCACAGAGTCTGGTTGTAGTTTTAGAATACACTTCACAATAGTACCGGAGGTACTAGCTACTAATCCATAGTAATTATTTACTTAAAATATATGTCAGATATTGTGCTGAGTATGTTACATACATTCATTGTTGTGTGATCAGTCATGTCCAATTCATTGTGGCCCCATGGACAGTAGTCCACCAGGCTCTTCTGACCAGTAAATTTTCCAAACAAGAATACTGGAGTGGGTTGCCATTTACTACTCCAAGGGATCTTCCCAACCCCTGTCTGAGAACCCATGTTCCTGAGTCTCTAGGAACCTCCATCTCTTGTGGTTCCTGCATTGGCAGGTGAATTCTTTACCACTAGCGCCACCTGGGGAAGACCACATTCATTATTACACTAGCCCTGTGAAGTTTTACAGATGAGGATATTGATGATCACATAAATTAAGAAACTTCTCAGGGTTATAACAGCTAAAAAGCAGGACAAGCAAGATCCACAGAGAGTTCTACTTTCTTCCCCAATCTCTCACTCAATCATTGTATTTTAATTCTTGGAACTGATGATGAATGTCATTGCTATCGCTGTGACACATTTGACAGTTAATTTACTTTCAGGATCACTAATACATAACAGAAGAAAAAAGAAAGAAAAGTGAAATATTATCAGCACTGATTATTTTGTATGAGAAAAGGTGAACTGAAAAGGTGGAAAGAGACACAAGAATGTCAGAAAACGAAAGGAAGAGTCAAGGAGTTCCCAAAGAAGGTAATGAAGCACTTTTCATAAATATAGAGCTGAAAGATGAGCAGTAACAGAAAAAGTAGTGTGATAGGAAAATTGGGTTAAAATTAGTAGCAAATTAGAATAGAGGAAAGCTGCCAGGAGGAAGCTTCTAGAGTGTTTAGAAAAGGCATAACAACCTGAAAATGCAGGCCTATAATGAAAATTCATCAACTGTAATTGAGAAATAGTTGTTATGGTAGCACTATAATTATAGTATATGTGCAGATGGTCTGGATAAAAAATTTTAGGACAATCAAAATATTTATAATGTTTCATAAAGGAACAGGTGTAGTGTTGCAGTAGGTGACTTTTAATTGTCTATTATTATGGCCTTTGATTTTAGTTTTGTTTATAGTCCGAAAGGGAAGAATATCAACCCTAAATTTAGTTTATTAATAAGAAAGCATCACAATTTTCATGATTTTGTGTGATTAAACATAAGTTTCTTAGAATTTTTGCATTTAGATTTTAATTATGTACTTTATTCTTTTTGTCTAGCTCTGGCTAAACAAGACACATCTTCATTAACTGATGCTGTAGAACAAGTTGCAAAGCAACAGCAATCACAAACATCAGAAATAGAAAGAAACAGAAAAGTTCTGTTCCATTTACAGGTAACCTATTTCACAAAGTCTTGCAAATGAGTTTTTATGTTCTTCAAAACTATATTAAATTAGTAAGAGGGAAGTTATTAAGCAAACTTAATAACTTCTGAGGAAGCAGTATAACATTTCTAATGTTCATATTTATACCTTTTAAATTATTCTGGTGTCCTTCAGTAAGGGCTTCACTGGTGTCTTAGATGGTAAATAATCCACCTGCAATGCAGGAGACCTGGGTTCGATCCCTGAGTTGGGAAGGTCCCCTGGAGGAGGGCATGGCAACCCAGTCTAGTATTCTTCACTGGAGAATTCCCATGGACAGAGGAGCCTGGTGGGCTATAGTCCATGGGGTCGCAAAGAGTCAGACATAACTGAATGACTAAGCACACATAACATCCTTATGTAAAATCTACATGAATATTACAGTTTTGTGGAACATTTTACATACTCATTGTGCAGAGATTCAACAGTGTCATCGTACTATAGATAAGCATGTAAAACACAATGATCACATAGAATTATTTTTAAATTTATTTGGTAGTTTTTCCTAAAATGCTGAATTGAAGAAAGGTTAAGTTTTTAAGCCAGTGTTTTTAAAGATGTGGCTTAGAAATTACTAGTTGCCAGTGAACATTTCAGGTAGATAAGGAACATTTCTGTGTTCCTTAAATTTTCCCTGGAGAAGGAAATGGTAACCCACTTCAGTATTCTTGCCTGGAGAATCCCATGGACAGAGGAGCCTGGCGGGCTATAGTCCACGGGGTCACAAAGAGTCAGACACGACTGAGCGACTAACACTTAGATTTCAAAATATGTTCATAATTCCATCGCAGGAATCTGAAAGCCATACTTGTTTTTGTATTCAGCATAGACACAATTATTCTGTTAATAAAGCTGAAGAAGGAAAAATGAAAACAGTATTTTTACTTTTAAAAGATTTTTTATTAACTGTATCATTGATATGAGAAGAGTATGAAAAGAATATACTCTAAATCTGAATTGCCAGGAGATGATTTGCTACTTCCAACTCCTTGATTTAATCTTTCCATGCTTCTGTTTTCTCATTTGTAAAATGGAGATAATAATAGGACCTATCTGTAAGGTTTTCATGATAATTAAATGAAAGGATACTTGTAAACATTACTTAAGATATCCTTGCCGGGGCCCTAGTGGGCAGTGTAGGACCAGATTTTGAATATGGTTTTAGGCATTAATGCATCAGCAGATATGATAATACTTACACTACGTGGTAGTATAGATTTCTTGTAAATATTTGCATTGCGTGAAATTAAAAGATACTTGCTCCTTGGAAGAAAAGCGATGACCAATCTCGACAGCATATTGAAAAGCAGAGCCATTGCTTTGCTGACAAAGGTCTGTCTAGTGAAAGCTATGGTTTCTCCAGTAGTCATGTGTGGATGTGAGAGTTGGACTATAAAGAAAGCTGAGTGCAGAAGAATTGATGCTTTTGAATTGTGCTGTTGGAGAAGACTCTTGAGAGTCCCTTGGACTGCAAGGAGATCCAACCAGTCCATCCTAAAGGAAATCAGTCCTGAATATTCACTGGAAGGACTGATGCTAAAGCTGAAACTCCAATCCTTTGGCAACCTGATGCAAAGAACTGACTCATTGGAAAAGACCTTGATGCTGGGAAAGATTGAAGGCAGGAGGAGAAGGGGACAACAGAGGATGAGATGTTTGGATGGCATCACTAACTCAATGGACATGAGTTTGAGCAAGCTCCAGGAGTTGTAGATGAACAGGGAGGCCTGGCATGCTGCGGTCCGTGGGGTCGCAAAGAGTCGGACACAGCTGAGCGACTGAACTGAACTGAACTGAGTCACTTTTAGAAAAGAATACATGTTGACAGTAGGATATAATATAAAAATAATAATGTCTTAGATTTCTATAAAGAATCATTCCGTAAAACTTGTCAATCTTCAAAGAGTTTTAGGGATGTTATTTCATTTATATTGAGGACCTAATTTCTGTTAAGCATTTTGCTGAATATTGTCCTCACTCTTAAGCTACTCACCATCTGTTGAAAATGAAAGTGAAAGTGTTAGTCATATTGGACTCTTTGTGACCCCATGAACTTTAGCCCACGAGGCTCCTCTGTCCATGGAATTCTCCAAGCAAGAATACTGGAGTGGGTTGCCATTCCATTCTCCAGGGGATCCTCCTGACCCAGAGATGGAACCAGGGTCTCCTGCACTGCAGGTGTTTTCTTTTACCATCTGAGCCACCAGAGAAGGCCTCGCCATGTATTGAAGAGGGAGACAAATACCTAAACAAATAATTACATGCAAGGAAGTATGTCAACAATAGAGACATAAACACAGATTTAACATTGAAAAAGGAGTGATAAGTTGAGTTTTAAAGAATAGCTGCAGTTCCCTAGAATGATTGGGTGTATGGGACTGGTTTGAGGGTTAAAGGGAAACAAGGATGTGATATTCTAGGCAAAAAAAAAAAAAAAAAAACTGAGAAACTTAAGAGGCCTGAAACAGCATTGGCACATTCATAGAGCTGTAAGTAGTTTGGTAGTGGAATAACATAGAGTGTATTCTGAGAAGCAATAAGAGATGTGTAGCATGAAAAGAAGCTTAAACTTTATTTTAGAGTTGATGAGAGGGTTTTGATAGACTTCAAAAGAGTGAATGAATAAACTTATTTTTAGAAAGAGAATTCTAGATGCATGAAAGATACTTCTTATAATCTAACATCAATTTAAGATAAAAACTACCAGCAAATTAGGAACAGAAGAAAGTTCTAGCCAACTAAAAGGGGCATCTACATAAATCCTACAAGCAACATACGTAATAGTGGAAGACTGAATATTTTTCTCCTAAGATCAGGGATAAGGCAAGCATATGTCTTCTTATCACTTCTTCTCATTCTGTGGTACCAATAATTCAAGCCACTCCTTTACAGATAAAGAAATAAAGATATCCCAATTGGAAAGGAGGGAGTAAAACTGTTTTTATTCACATATAGCATGATTTTTTGGGGTAAATCCTAAGGAATCTATTATTTTAAAGTCTATTAGGACTAATAAGAATTCACTTGCAGTGAGGGAGACGGGTTCAATCCCTGGGTTGGGAAGATCCCCTGGAGAAGGGAAAGGCTACCCACTCCAGTATTCTGGCCTGGGGAATTCCACGGATTGTATAGTCCATCGGGTCACAAAGAGTCAGACATGACTGAGCAACTCTCACTTTCACTTTTTCAGGACTAATAAGGGAGTTTAGAAAGGTTGCAAGATAAGATTAATTATAAAAACCAGTTATATTTCTACATTTAAAAAGAAACAATCAGAAACTGAAATTTAAAAAGCATTATCATTTACAGTGGCACCAAATTATGAAATAGGGGTAAATTTAACAAAAACATTGTATTATAGACTGAATGTTTGTATCACCCCCAAAATTCATATGCTGAAGCCTTGAAAACCCATGTGGTTGTGGTTGGAGATGAAGTTTTTGTCAGGTAATTAGGTTTAGATGATGTCATGAGGGTGGGATCCTGGTGGTAGGGTTAGTGCCCTTAGAAGAAAAGATACCAAAGAGCATGCTCTTTGTCATGTGATGACACAGTGAGAAGTTGACCCTCTGTAAGCCAGGAAGAGTTCTCATTGGAACCTGACTATGCTAACACTCTGTCCAGCCTGCAGAACTGTGAGAGATAAATTTGTGTTGTTTCAGCCACTAAGTCTATGATATTTTGTTATGGCTGTGCTGTAGCAAACTAAGACAAGACGTAAGACCTGTGTACTGAAAACTGCAACACACTGTTGAGAGAAATTAAAGACCAAAATAGAGAGATGCACCATTTTCATGAATCGTAAGATTCAGTATTGTTAACACGTCAGGTCTTTCTCTTTTATCTGTTGTTTAAAAGCAGTTCTACTCAAAATTCCAACAGGCTTTTTTATAGAACTTGACAGACTGATTCTAAAAGACCTATGGAATGCAAAGAACCTATATAATCAGAACAACTTTGAAGAACAGTGTTGGAAGTTCTGGTTGAAGGAGAGGAGGAAGCATGGAAACAGGGAGACCAGTTAAGAGCTGGGCCATGCTACAACGACTGGTCAGAAGTGGGTTGGGATTTTATTTTAGAGGCCCAGGCATCAAGATTTGCTGTTAAATAGGTTGCAGGGATAAGATAAAGGGATGAATCAAGAATGGCTTCTAGGTTTTTTGTATCCAAGGTGGAAAGTTTATTGAAATCAGAAAGGCTGAAAGAGGAGCATATTGGACTTGCAAATTAAAAGCTCTTTCCTAAAAAAAAGGCTCTTTTCTAAACATGTATATTGAGATGGCTGTTAGATATACAAATAGAATGTCAAATGGGCATTTTAAATATCAAAACTGGAGATAAAGATTGAAGTTCATCAGTATGTTGCATCTTCAGTGTCCTTCCCTCTCCTGTCTCTGTCAAGAAAAGGATAGGCTGGGTCTGCCTTCTTAGTGAAGTGCTTCCCTCCCATTATTATACATTTATTTAAAGAAGAAAAAGAATAAAGGCCTATAGTTATACTGGTGGGATAATCTACAGGATTTGATGAATAGTTAAATATAGAGAGGGATTCTGTGATGGCTCAGTGAAGAATCAGCCTGCAATGCAGGAGACTCAGATTTGATCCCTGGGTCAGGAAGAGCCCCTGGAGAAGGGAACAGCTACCCACTACAGTATTCTGGCCTGGAGAATTCCACGGACAGAGGAGCCTAGTGCGCTATAGTTCAGTTCAGTTCAGTTCAGTCGCTCAGTTGTGTCCAACTCTTTGCGACCCCATGAATCGCATCATGCCAGGCTTCCCTGTACATCACCAACTCCCGGAATCCACCCAAACCTAAGTCCATTGAGTCGGTGATGCCATCCAACCCATCTCATCCTCTGTCATCCCCTTCTCCTCCTGCCCGCAGTCTTTCCCAGCATCAGGGTCTTTTCCAATGAGTCAGCTCTTCGCATCAGGTGGCCAAAGTATTGGAGTTTCAGCTTCAACATCAGTCCTTTTAATGAACACCCAGGACTCATTTCCTTTGGAATGGACTAGTTGGATCTTCTTGCAGTCCGAGGGACTCTCAAGAGTCTTCTCCAACACCACAGTTCAAAAGTATCAATTCTTCAGTGCTCAGCTTTCTTTATAGTCCAACTCTCACATCCATACATGACCACTGGAAAAACCATAGCCTTGAGTAGACAGCCTTTCGTTGACAAAGTAATGTCTCTGCTTTTTAATATGCTATCTAGGTTGGTCATAACTTTCCTTCTAAGGAGTAAGCATCTTTTAATTTTATGGCTGCAGTCACCATCTGCAGTGATTTTGGAGCCCAGAAAAATAAAGTCAGCCACTGTTTCCACTGTTTCCCCATCTATTTGCCATGAAGTGATGGGACCAGATGCCATGATCTTAGTTTTCTGAATGTTGAGCTTTAAGCCAACTTTTTCACTCTCCTCTTTCACTTTCATCAAGAGGCTCTTTAGTTCTTCTTCACTTTCTGCCATAAGGGTGGTGTCATCTGCATATCTGAGGTTATTGATATTTCTCCCGGCAATCTTGATTCCAGCTTGTGCTTCTTCCAGCCCAGCGTTTCTCATGATGTACTCTGCATATAAGTTAAATAAGCAGGGTGACAATATACAGCCTTGACGTACTCCTTTTCCTATTTGGAACCAGTCTGTTGTTCCATGTCCAGTTCTAACTGTTGCTTCCTGACCTGCATACAGGTTTCTCAAGAGGCAGGTCAGGTGGTCTGGTATTCCCATCTCTTTCAGAATTTTCCACAGTTTATTGTGATCCACACAGTCAAAGGCTTTGGCATAGTCAATAAAGCAGAAATAGATGTTTTTCTGGAACTCTCTTGCTTTTTCGATGATCCAGCGGATGTTGGCAATTTGATCTCTGGTTCCTCTGCCTTTTCTAAAACCAGCTTGAACATCTGGAAGTTCACGGTTCACGTATTGCTGAAGCCTGGCTTGGAGAATTTTGAGCATTACTTTACTAGCGTGTGAGATGAGTGCAATTGTGCGGTAGTTTGAGCATTCTTTGGGATTGCCTTTCTTTGGGATTGGAATGACAACTGACCTTTTCCAGCCCTGTGGCCACTGCTGAGCTTTCCAAATTTGCTGGCATATTGAGTGCAGCGCTTTCACAGCATCATCTTTCAGGAGTTGAAATAGCTCAACTGGAATTCCACCACCTCCACTAGCTTTGTTCGTAGTGATGCTTCCTTAGGCCCACTTGACTTCACATTCCAAGATGTCTGGCTCTAGATGAGTGATCACACCATCCTGATTATCTGGTTCGTGAAGATCTTTTCTGTACAGTTCTTCTGTGTAGTCTTGCCATCTCTTCTTAATATCTTCTGCTTCTGTTAGGCCCCTTCCATTTCTGTCCTTTATTGAGCCCATCTTTGCATGAAATGTTCCCTTGGTATCTCTAATTTTCTTGAAGAGATCTCTAATCTTTCCCATTCTGTTGTTTTCCTCTATTTCTTTGCACTGATCACTGAGGAAGACTTTCTTATCTCTCCTTGCTATTCTTTGGAACTCTGCATTCAAATGGGAATATCTTTCCTTTTCTCCTTTGCCTTTCACTTCTCTTCTTTTCACAGGTTTTGTAAGGCCTCCTCAGACAGTCATTTTGCTTTTTTGCATTTCTTTTTCTTGCAGATGGTCTTGATTCCTGTCTCCTGTACAATGTCATGAACCTCCATCCATAGTTCATCAGGCACTCTGCAATAAACACTAGTGTGTTACAGAGTATTTGTGGTCCTGACAATTGGCAACTGATACAAGGCAGAACAGGATGGGCCACGGGAGGGGAAGCATTGTCTGATTTTTGGACGATGAATTTGAGATGCCCATTGGTAACTGGGCATAGGACTTAATAGCCACCTACATTATGTGAATCATCAGTATGTATGTATCTCAAGATTTAAGTATGTGTAAGATTATCCAAGGAGTATAGATAGAATGAGAGAAGAAAATTATGATGACTGCATGCTGAGGAAAACCTATATTTGAAGGGACCAATGAGACAGAGAAGGAATGCTCAGAGGTATCTGAGGAGAAGCAGAGAAGTGTTGGGTAGGTTTTAAAAAGCAGGTGCTGGTTAGAATTGCCAAGTGCCCCAGAGAGGTAAGAGTTACCCATGCTCTGTCATGTCTGACTCTTTGCAACCCTGTGGACTGTAGCCCACCAGGCTCCTCTGTTCATGGGATTTTCCAGACAAGATCCTGGAAGTGGGTTGCCATTTCCCTCTCTAGGAGATCTTCCTGACCCAGTAATCGAACCCGTGTTTCCTGAACCTCCTACGTTGGCAGACAGATTCTTTACCACTGCACCACATGGGAGGCAAAGATGAATATACCTTCATACTTATCTTACAAGTGAAGAAAGTGAGACTTGAATAGGATAATTAAGTTTGCTATTTGATCATGGGCTTCCCTGTTGGCTCAGAAGGTAAAGAACCTGCCTGAAATGCAGGAGACCTGGGTTTGATCCCTGGGTCGGGACGATCCCCTGGAGGAGGGCATGGCAACCCACTCCAGTATTCTTGCCTGGAGAATCCCATGGACAGAGGAGCCTGGGGGGCTACAGTCCATGGGGTCACACAGAGTCAGACATGGCTGAACGACTGAGCACAGCATGTATAATCACCCCAACTAGTAAACAGCATTAAGGGCACTAGAATTTACATCTTTTGTTCTTTTAACTCAGAGTTTTATCATTTTTATCATAAATTTTTCTTTAGTTTGTACTTCTGATGCCCATAAACATATTGTTAAAATTATTGTAAAGTATTTTTTATATATAAAGTGTCAAGACAAATGATACAATTTTAATACTGAGAATTAGATGAACAATAAAAAATAAGAAATATGTAACCCTGGGATCCCTCTGATTATAAAATAATTTCATTACTTTATTACATTTCTCCTTCTATTATGCATCAATTTTTGTATATTTGATAAAAAATATTTTTTATGTTAAGTGATTTTTCTACACACACTGTGGATCAAAACAATGGCTTTTCTTTCATGTTGAATATCATGAATTAATAATAATAATGTTGAAATATCTTACAGAATGAACTTCATGAGCTTGAAACACAAATAGCATCTGTCTCTGCAGAAACTAAAGAAACAGAAAGGCAAATTTATCAGCAAGATGCTGCCATACAGAATACCAGACTTCACTGTGGAGACCTGGAAAATCAAATCAAATCCTTACACGCAGAAAATGTGAAGCTTAAATCTGACATAGAAACAGCCCAAGAAAATTTTGAGGAACAAATGATAAAATATAATGAATACTATGCCAAGATAAAAGCACATAAAGATAGTTTGAGAGAGATAGAGAACAAATGGTCATTCATGACTGAACTCAATGAGAAACGAGACCTTGTTAAAAAACTAAAGACAATGAAAGAGGAACTTAAGCTGGATCTCCAAAATCCAGAAGGAAACCTGATGAGACAAGCACAGGTTTGAAATATCACTTATTAAAACATTTTCTAGTATTCTTTTTTTTGTGAGTATACTTACTCAGTGATAAATTATCATTAACTTAGTAAAATATCCATGAGTGCTGTAACTGGATTCAGAGCTTTTAAAAACTCATGTAAGTACATGAGTTATGTAACAACTATGTCAAAAGTACAAATGCGTAAAGGAAACATCCCCAAATCCCTTGTGGATTAATAAAAATATATAGTCCCACAAAATCAGATGAACAATTAATCCATTTGTTACAGAAAGTGTGACTCACAAAAATGTTAACTAGCTTCCAGTCTAGTGCATCCAGACCAATTAAAATCTATTTAGTTTGCTTAATGCTGTTACACAAACAATGTGAATTAATAATTGCACCCTAAGCATCTTTCTCTTAATATTCTTTGAAGATTTTGGGAGATGAAAACTAAAAATATCTATTATTTCTTGCTAATAATTAAACAAATATCCTATACAACATTGCCAAACAATTGCCGCTATGACTTCTGCTTTCCTTTGTTTCTTATTTTCATTTGGTTTTTACTTCTGTATCTTCAAATCTAAGGTTTGCTTGTTTGAATAATGCTTCCTCATTCCTTATATCTATAGAAGTAACGTTCTAATCATATTAATCAAAATTAAATGTGATGGTTAATCTTAAATTATAGAAACGCTGAAAATCTTGGATTTATATTGGCGATTCATTGTTTGACATGTATATTTTAAATGTTATAAACATACAGGAAGATATTACAAAACTGAAGGATGAAATTACAACTGTAGAAGAATCCATCAGTGAACAAACTTGTTTTCTTGAGAAAGAAATAAAGACACATGAAAAATTAAGAAAAGAAATAGAGGTAAGTCTTAAATATCTGGATTTCAATGTTTTATGGGATCATTTTTTAAACTTTTATTAATACTGTAGTCATAATTTGTGTAGTTTACTGTCAGTTCCCAAAACAGTTACAGAACCGAAAAGAACTATGAAAAACAGTTGATACATCCAAACTATTTATAGATTAGTGTAGATAACTCCAAAAATATTCAAATATTTGAATGTATTCAAGAAAAGCAAGTACTCAGTCTTATTTCAGTCTGGCCTAGAGTTCTTCCAGGTCTCATTCCATCAGGTGGTGGTGGTGATTTAGTTGCTAAGTCACGTTCAACTCTTGCAACCCCGTGGACTGTAGCCCACCAGGCTCCACTGTCCATGGGATTCCCCAGACAAGAATACTGGAGTGGGTTGCCGTTTCCTTCTCCACATTCCATGAGCTTTGTAACCGATTAATATGGATAGACAGCAGAGGCTATCCAGTCAAAAAGGACCACTCATAGACAGAAATTAAAGACTCTTCAAAGTAAAGACAATGGAAGTGTTGGTATTCTAAACCTCTGACTTCCTATCTGTAATTTTCAATAGTCCAATTAGAAAACAAACTGAATGATAAATTAAAAGTGAGACTAAATTTGAGATGCCACTGGTATACCTTATAGTCATTGTTTAGATGAGTGGAGAACAAAAAGGGAAAAGTGTATGTTGTTATGGGCAAATAATTTTCACCCTTTAAAATTACTTTGGAAAATAAAAAGATGCATATTTTCAACTTGCTTGTGACTAATTTGGCACAATGAAAAAGCACCAGGAAGACGAAAGCCCTCACCTTTACAAAACATTCTCTTTAAGAAACACCATAATTTTATCTTCTATTTTACTAGCAATGTAAATAAATGGGTATTTTTACCCTTCTAGATATCAAGATTTATTATAAATCTATATATGTGGCATAGAAATAGAAAAAATGATTAATGAAGCAGAAAAAAGGAATCCAGAAATAATCCATCATAAATAGAATAAACAAACTGTTAGTCATGTGAAAAAATTACAATTTTGCAGTAAAATTAGATTCCTACCTCTGAACACATACATACATAGACTTCCACAAGGATTAAAGATAATGTAGGAGACAAAATTACTTTGTATTTGCATTACAGAAGTATTTATTTTAAAAGACACAGACATATATCCAAACTGCATGATTAAATACTACTTTGGCTATGTCGTAAATTTCTAGATTATTGAGATGCAGCATAACAATAAAGAAGACTAGACTCATTTTGAAAGGGTGTATTTGTAACATACATAAGTGACTAAGCGATAAGAAAATTTTGAACAAGCCATAGAACCTTGGGAATATGGTTTGAAAAGTCTTACCTTTTAAAAGATAAATATATATTAAAAAAGATAAAATCCAATGGAAATGATGACCAACCTCATTAACAGTAAGGGATTGATAAATCAGACCACACTAAGGCCCAAAATTTGGCCTGTCAATTATCAATATTACAATTTGTGAGATGTAGACCACCTGAATTCTAAAATACTATTGGTATGAGTATAAACTGGTAAAAGCATTTTGGAAAGAAATTTGAGATTCTTAATAATTTTTATTAAAGTATAGCTGTCATAAGAGTAGGTACATTATTTGTAAGGCTTTAGCTTATTTAATTTTGACAATTTATATATATACCTGTGTTACCATGACCTTGAACAAGATATAAAACTTTTGCATCATGTCTAGAAAGTTCTCTGGTCCCTTTTTCTCAGGCTACCATGATTCTCATTTTTAAAACAGCTTTATTGAGATATAATTCACATAACATACAATTCACTCATTTAAAATGCATAGTTAAATGGTTTTTAATATAAATACAGGTATTGAACCCACGTCTCGTGCGTCTCCTGCATTGCAGGCGGACTCAGAGCCACCAAGGGAGCCATTGTTCCGTCTGTCTGTCGTGCTGTGTGTGCTAAGTCGCTTCAGTCGTGTCCGGCTCTGTGCGACCCCATAGACAGCAGCCTACCAGGTTCCTCCGTCCCTGAGATTCTCCAGGCGAGTACTGGAGTGGGTTGCCATTGCCTTCTCCACTGTCTATTGTATTTATCTGTATTTTTGCTCCACCGTATTCTTTCTTCCTCCCTGATGTTCTAAGATTTCCTCTTTTATTGTTTTATTTCTCTTTTAAGCTTCTAAATTCATTCTTTTAGGAGAGGTCAGCTGGTGGCAGTCTTTTGGGTTTTTTTTTTTTTCATCTGAAAATGTCTTCATTTCCCTTTCATCTCTGAAAGATGTTTTTACTGGATATAGATTTCTGGGTTAACTGTTCTTTTCAGTTGGAAAATGCTGTGCCACTTCTTCCTGGTCTTCATAATTTCTAATGGAAAATTCACTGTCATTTTAATTGAATTGTTTTCCTCTCAGACATTTGTTTCCTGCTGCCTTCAAGCTTTGCTGTCTTTGAGTGAAGTTGGTCAGTCGTGTCTGACTCTTTGCGACCCCATGGACTATAGCCTACCAGGCTTCTCCATCCATGGGATTTTCCAGGCAAGAGTACTGGAGTGGGTTTTTTCTGGAATTAATTTCTTTGGATTTATCCAATTTTGAAAATTCTTAACTTCTCAGTTCTGTAGGCTTATGTCTTTTGCTAAATTTTGGAAATTTTCCGTTCTGATTTATTTGAAACTTTTGCAGGTCTGCCCTCTTTCTCCTATTCTTCCAGAACTCTCATGGAAGAAATTATAGGTCTTTTTCTGACAGAGTCCCATGGGTCCCTGAGGCTCTCTTCATTTCTTTTTTCAGTCTTTGTCTCTCTGTTGGTCATACTGCATACTCCTTAGTGCTCCATCTTACATTCACTGATTCTGTCCTTTATCCCCTCCATTCTGCTATTGAACCATCCCACTAGATTTTTTATTTCAGTTATTGTGTCTTTTCCGTTTGGTTTTTGTATCTTTTATTCCTTTTCTGAGACTTTTAGTATTTTTATTTGTTTCAGGCACATCCCTTAATACTCATCGAAACATTTTTATGATGATGGCTCTAAAATGCCCGCCACATAATTCTAACCTCTGCATTTTCTTGGTGTTGGCACATGTTGATTGTTATTTTTTATTTAGTTTGAGAGCTTCCTGGTTCTTGCTTTGGTGAGTGATTTTCTGTTGAAATCTGGACATGTTGGGTTTTACGTTGTAAGACTCTGTATCATTGTTACTTCCACGTAGTAGTGAATGTTCAGAGACTCCATAGTCACTGGTGGAGGGAATAAGGGCTTCCTGTTACTGCTGGCCAGAAGTGGGAGTGCTGGCTGACCGCTAGGCTTCTGCTGATAAGCCCCTGGCTGGGCGGGGCAGGAGCACCTCATACTGCTCCCACAGAGATGCGGCCTTGCTACTATGAGTGATGGTAAGAAACTTCCGCTCTCCATGAGGCCCCCTCTGATACTCTCCCAGTGGGAAAGGGGAGAGTGCCTTGTTAGCCACTAGATGGAGAAGTCTAGCCTCCCCAGAGGGGCTCCCCTCACGCCAGAGGATGTAGTCTGTTACTTTCCAGAGGGAATGAAGAGTCCCATCTCCCCACTCAGCCTTCTCTGACGCCAGCCCAGCTGGAGGACTGGGGTCCTGCTATAGCCCAACCATGGACTATAGCCTACCAGGCTTCTCCATCCATGGGATTTTCCAGGCAAGAGTACTGGAGTGGGTTTTTTCTGGAATTAATTTCTTTGGATTTATCCAATTTTGAAAATTCTTAACTTCTCAGTTCTGTAGGCTTATGTCTTTTGCTAAATTTTGGAAATTTTCCGTTCTGATTTATTTGAAACTTTTGCAGGTCTGCCCTCTTTCTCCTATTCTTCCAGAACTCTCATGGAAGAAATTATAGGTCTTTTTCTGACAGAGTCCCATGGGTCCCTGAGGCTCTCTTCATTTCTTTTTTCAGTCTTTGTCTCTCTGTTGGTCATACTGCATACTCCTTAGTGCTCCATCTTACATTCACTGATTCTGTCCTTTATCCCCTCCATTCTGCTATTGAACCATCCCACTAGATTTTTTATTTCAGTTATTGTGTCTTTTCCGTTTGGTTTTTGTATCTTTTATTCCTTTTCTGAGACTTTTAGTATTTTTATTTGTTTCAGGCACATCCCTTAATACTCATCGAAACATTTTTATGATGATGGCTCTAAAATGCCCGCCACATAATTCTAACCTCTGCATTTTCTTGGTGTTGGCACATGTTGATTGTTATTTTTTATTTAGTTTGAGAGCTTCCTGGTTCTTGCTTTGGTGAGTGATTTTCTGTTGAAATCTGGACATGTTGGGTTTTACGTTGTAAGACTCTGTATCATTGTTACTTCCACGTAGTAGTGAATGTTCAGAGACTCCATAGTCACTGGTGGAGGGAATAAGGGCTTCCTGTTACTGCTGGCCAGAAGTGGGAGTGCTGGCTGACCGCTAGGCTTCTGCTGATAAGCCCCTGGCTGGGCGGGGCAGGAGCACCTCATACTGCTCCCACAGAGATGCGGCCTTGCTACTATGAGTGATGGTAAGAAACTTCCGCTCTCCATGAGGCCCCCTCTGATACTCTCCCAGTGGGAAAGGGGAGAGTGCCTTGTTAGCCACTAGATGGAGAAGTCTAGCCTCCCCAGAGGGGCTCCCCTCACGCCAGAGGATGTAGTCTGTTACTTTCCAGAGGGAATGAAGAGTCCGATCTCCCCACTCAGCCTTCTCTGACGCCAGCCCAGCTGGAGGACTGGGGTCCTGCTATAGCCCAGCAATGGTGAAAGTTTAGGCTTTCCACTCAGTGTTTGCTGGTGTGGCTGGTGGTAGAGCCATTGTTGTTTTTCTGTGGTGTTTGACTTCAGTAGAGTAGCTACTGCCTCAATATTTTCCGTCTTAAGGCTGCCCTTTTCCTGGTCCTTTGATTAGAGAGCAGGCTTTTCCTGGAGTTTTTTGTTTTGTTTTGTTGTTGTCTGCATTTGTTGGCATTTTGAGCTTTCTTTCTTCCTTCCTCATATCTGTGATATA